GTGCCGCTGTGACTGCTCTCTAACCCCCAGCTGTGTCCTCCCTGCTCTGGTTCACACCAGCCGGCTTTGAGCACTCTGGGTTTCTCTCTCCTTGTCTGCCCCTGAGCACCGTGTTCCCCAGAGGTGGGATCAGGATCCGGCAAGTGCCAGACCGGAGTCTGAGCCCAGAGATGGGACAAAGATGGGCAAGAGTTGGGGGTGGGGGGAATCCCCACAGAAGGCGAAACTGAGGCTCAGGGGTTGGGGACAGCCGGCCTGCCTGCCTATGACCGTCTGATGGACATCACCTGGTCTGAGCTGGTTCCAGAGCTGGGTGGGGTGTCTGTTGACTGAGAGGGGAGAGAGAAGAGACTGGGAAGAGAGAGGCAGGGACATTGAAAGATGGTCACAAGAAGTTGGCAGTGGAACATAAGGGGACAGAGATGGGCAGAGGAGGGGCAGGGCCGAGGATATGGTACCTGCGGGTCGGGCGTCGGGGGCCCGGGCGGGTGGCCCCGGGGTCTCCAGCGCAGGCGAGACGGAGAAGCGGGAGAAGCACAGCGGGGGGCCTGGAGGGGGGAGGAGGGGGAAATCCTCCGCCCACTCGAAACTGCCTCCTGCAGCAGAAGACCGCAGTCAGGCCGCAGGCACCTGCGGCGCTCCAGCCCTCCGGTCCCGCCCCTCCCACCCCATAGGCCCCGCCCCGTCCGCCCCATGGCTCCCGCCCCCTCCTGCCCCATTGGGCCCGCCCTCACCAAAGCCGCTGTCGTTGCTGGGAAACCCATCTCCGGGGGTGGCGGGGTGGGGAGGCGTCGGGGGCGCTGGAGGCGTTGACGGGTCCGTGTCCCCCTCGGGGGGGCCCTGGACGCTCAGCTCGTTGGTTGGCGTCTCCTGTGAAGGCAGATTAGCGGGAAGCCAGAGGGGACAAACCGTCACGTCCCATTTACCGCATCCCCCAAAAGCAACAAAACTGGTTAATATTTCTGGGGCTCTAGGAATCCCAATTTATAATCACACGCTCTGGAGGGGTGGCTGGAGCCCCTAATCTGGCTTCGAAGCCTCGGGCCAGCCTTAACCTCAACCTGGCCCGAGGCTACTTACCTGACAGCTGAGCCCCACGCACAGCTAAGTAGCCCAACGTAAGGATTCTCTCCTGGCTCATTAACGCGCGGCCTCCACCCGATCCCCTAACCCAAGGCGATCTCCATAGGCCCCACCCCGTTCCTGTCAGTCCCACCCACCTCTGAGATCTAGACCTGCTCCAGTGGCCCTCCCAACCCCTGCCCCATCCTGAGCGCATCCCATGCTGGACAGTGACCCTGCCCCCGAACCTTCCCTCAGAAGCAGACCTGCTCCCGCCCTCCAAGTTCCACCCCTCTGAATGTATTTCAGTGGCCCAGTCCCCAATTCTTGGCCTTATTTCCATTTCTCTCACAATCTCAGCCCGGTATACCCGCCCCAGGTTCATCTAGACAAGGCCCCAGTTCCTCAGCACCATTCGCCTTCCCTTTTTCTCTTCAACACCATCTGTGTTTTTCTTTTTGTTATAGACAGAGTCTCACTGTCGCCCAGGCTGGAGAGCAGTGTTGTGATCATGGCTCAATGCAGCCTCAACCTCCCGGGCTCAAGCGATCCTCCCACCTCAGCCTCCCGAGTAGCTGGGACTACAGACGCGCACCACCACACCAAGGTAATTTTTTTCTTTTTAAGAGATGAGGTCTCGCCATGTTGGCTAGGCTGCTCTCGAACTCCTGGCTTCAAGTGATCCTCCCGCCTCGGCCTCCCAAAGTGCTGGGATTACAGGCGTGAACCACTCGCGACTGGCCTAACTCTTAACACAATCCTCTACCCATCTCTCTAAAGACCCGTCCCAGTCGTTAGGTTCGCTCATCCCTGACCCCACCCCAAAATACCTTAAGACTGCCTGCTGCATCTCTGAAGCCCACCTGCAGCCTAGCCATGGCCCTTCCCTAGTGGGTAAGATCTGCTCCCTCCGGAACCAGCCCTACAGATACTAGAACTCTGGTCAACAAACAATGCCCAAACTCTCAGTAGGCCCCGACCACACCATCCAGGCCACTTCTCAACACTTCCTCTTCTCAACACTTCCTCCCTAGTCTCTCCAGGATCCCATACTTGACTACCCAGTACCCCCTCTTTCCTTCCAGACTCACCCTCACTCTCCAGGCCTCTCCTCGCCCTCTACACCCCGCCCCCATCACAAGCCCTGCCCTCACCCTAGGTCCCACCCCAGCTCTAGGCTCGGCCCGTCCTCCCGGCCCTGCCCCACTGTCAGGCCTGCCCTCACACTCAAAGCCTCCTCCCATCTTCCTAGTCCCGCCCCATTTCCCTGACCAGTCTCTTCCCAGAGCCCGCCTTCAACCCCTAGGCCCTGCCTGCGCCCTGCTCGATCCTCCCCGCCTTAGGCTCCGCCCCCATTCCAGCCGTGGACTTTCTCCAGGCCTCCTCTTGCCGCACCATAGGCTTGGCCTCCCTCAGGCCCCGATCCAGACTCTGTCCCGATCCTAGGCGCGGTCTCCTTCCAGGCCTCGCCCCCGCTCTAGGCTCAGCCTGCCTCCAAACCCTGCTCTAGACCCCGCCCCACTCTAAGCTCAGCCTTCGTCTAGGCCCCGCCCCAGGCCCTGCTCCTCTAGGATCGACTTCCCTCCAGGCCCCGCCCTGGGCTCCGCCCCACCCTAGCTTGGCCCCACCCCACTCTAGATTCGAGCTCCCCTTAGGTCCCGCCCCACTTCAGCTTGCCCTCCCTCCAGGCCCCGCCTCAGGCCCCGCCCCACTCCAGCTCGGTCTCCCTTC